GTGAATCAAGTTTGTTGTCAATGTGATTGTATTGTTTGAGGTACAAACAATTATTTACCAAAACTAGTTAGTTATTGAATATCACAAGAATTTGACTAACTCAATAATCACACAATGTATTTTCAACTACTCCACATTCAATGAATGAAGTCGCAGATGTGAATGGATGGATGCCGATACACTGATTTGATGAGTAAACAACCACTGTGATATTTGGTTGTTCTATATTTGGTTGGTGTTATGATCAAGGATGAGTACTGCAGATGAGTTGCACAACGAGAATGAAACTGATGAAAACCTAGAAACACAGGACACTTGTTTCGTTTCAGTATGCAACTGCTATGCAGTCTGCATCCACAACCCCACCATCGAAGATCTAACACACAACCTACAGTCTCGCATAAGAAAGCTTAACTTCTAGATAATTAAACTGTCATCCAACAGTGTACATATTTAATTTTAATCATTCTATTACTTACGGTGGTTAAAAATTTAGCTAAGATCAGTTTGTGATTTAAACTACTAGAATTTTTATAATCTCCACAACCTCTTACCGTGCACTAACTTAAAGTTTTATCGTAAATTATTACTTAGATCATGAAAAGATCGGTGTTTCACAGATGATTGGCTTTTTGTACTCAGTAGCTAAGTGGATAATATGATGGCATTTGAAACGAACGGTACGACTTTCTAGTCTCAGAGTGAACATCAACCTCGATGCAGATACGTCCAGCCGACGAGTTCAAAATAAAACGAAACGAGAGTCCTGGATCCCAGTTATAGCCATATTTCATCTATTTTATGTAAATCCATGTGTCGAATGAGTCTTGATAAATTAAAAGTCAGAAAAATAATATTTCAACTATCCTGTAAATAGTTATGCCTAAAGTATTTTAGTTATATAAAAACATTTCATTATTATTTTCGTTGTAGTAGTTTACCCATCAAATAATTTTAATTATATAGGTTATTTGTAGTAGATATTTTTTTCGACTGATCAGATGGTTGATGATTATCGATGAAGAATTATAGTAGTTGTCCAATCTTTAATTTATTAGATAATCATTAATAACCAGATAGCATTAAATATCTATTTTGTTCTAGTAAGGAGTGTTGTGACGGGCGGTGTCCGAAATCTGATACTGAAACACGATTTGCTACACACTAACCCCTCAACTAACTACTCGAGCGAGAATACAAGAATGAGCTAGAAAGTGTGCTGGACTACCAAATAAAATGAACAAATACTCATTCATATATATACCACTCTAATCCTTAGGAAATTGATCCATTTCTTAGCCGATGAAATGTACTTATCCTTTAGGTTGCTTATGATTGATAATGATTGACCTTCACATTAGGCTAGTTCTGATTCGCTCCCCATATGAAGGAGATTTTCATTTGGGGATAAACATAATTGATAATATTCAATTTTAAAAAACTGTCGGAAACCATTTTTATAAAATTAAAAATGCTTTTAAGTTGCTTAGTGTTAGTAACTAGTCGAACAAAAAAAATGACAATTGTAAAACATTTGGAATCTATTGAATAATGCAGCTTTGTTAGGATTGTTGTCAATCAAATAATGAATCAACTTCAGCTAACTAGTATAAAACAAGTAAGTATTGTTTCGCTTACAAATGTTCCATAATAATAATAATAATAAGCTAAGTGGATAACTTGATGGCTTTTGAAGTGAATGGTACTGGGTTCGAGTCCCATATTGAATATCAAAAACCCCATTGTACAAGCAAGTAGTTATCAAGATTCAGTAGTTAAGTGGATAACGCAATGGTTTTTGAAGTGAACGGTACTACGTTCCTGTCCTAGAGTGAACATCGAAACTGGGATACAAATACATCCAGTTGACGAATTCCAAATGAAACAAAACGTGTCTCATGAATTCCACTATCAACCACCATCAATCTTTACTTATAATACTTGTGACTTAAGTCAATATCGAGACGATTCATACAGGACATCCATATATTAATAAGAAACTGATCAATTCCAGTCATAAAACATCAATAGGATGATTCAAACAAGCAACACAAAGTGAATTAAAATGAAGTTTCGTTTCTTTTTTTTTCTCAAATTAAAACATTTAATCAGTAAACTATATCACTTTAGTTGAAATAATTAATGTCCTTAACATAAGTTAGATAACTTATTGTCTAATTGAATCGTCTAATGAATAGTAATACGTATATCAATAATTGAATGACCTTTTCTTTTATTACTGAAGTAATTGTTAAAAAGTTAACAAATTATCTGATATACTACTAACATATTTACTTACTTAATTGTGTTAGTATGTTTTATATATTTAACTTATATTGTAAATTCATGATAATCACTCTAACATACTATAAATGATTAATTCTAGATAATCGATGCTAAAACTAGAGAGTATTCAATTAATTCTGTTCCCGTTTAAAATATATTTTTCCTATAAGCTACTTATTAGAGAAAATAAATAGATTAATAGAATCTCAATTAAAATTAATATAACTCTTGATTTCATTACTTAATTATCATTAATGTTAGATAATTATTATGTTTATAAGCAAAGATAAATAATGGCTAGTAGTAGAATCCAGGACGAGCGTTTTGTCCTATTTAAGACTCGTTAAATGGATACACCTGCATTTGAGTTGATATTCAGTATGGAACTCGAACCTAGTACCGTTTGAGGCAACTTGTGACTTTAGGTAACATCGAGGCAGTCCACAAAGGATACACATATGCCAACAACAGACTGATCAATTACAGTCCTAAACAACAATGGGGAGATACAAGTAAACAACATTAAGTGAATTATTATGTTTATTCAAAAAATGCCAGTTAAGCTAATATGTCAGATTAAAAACAATGTATTTTTCAGTATCGGGGAAGGGGAGGGGCGTGATTGTGGATTTTTATTGAGAGTATGAACTGATTTAGGTTAAACAATCATTGAAAATATGGAAGTGATGAACATTCATTTTGTCATAATATAGGACTATTAGATAATGGAAACTCATGACCCCACCACTGGGGATGAAACCCAGGATTTTTAGTCTAATGTTAGAATGCTGAACCTCTTTATCAATGAAGCAGCATAGAAAAGTGTACATTTTTAACTTCAATTAGTTTGCGGTACTGTGTAATCATCTTTCATTAATTGCTGTGGGTAATTATTTAGTTAAAATCAGTTCGTAATTCAACTATTAAAATTCTACGTTCTCCACAAACCTCTATATTATGAACATTATACCCAATTAATTTACTTCGAATGGTAATAAATTAGAACCACACTAACCTATTGAAATATATATGAAAAATAATCAAAATCATAAAATTTATTCCTACTGAACAGATTGTTAGTGATTTCGTATATTTAGGTAATAAGCTAACATGCTACAATCTAATTTAATACTCATCAGTATAGGGTTGCGGAGATTGATAAGTTTTTGATTTAGATTATGAATCAATGAATGTTAGACCACCATTAAACATCTGAAAGCACTGGAAGGTCGTTTTGTCTTAATATAGGACTCCTCAGCAGTGTGTATCCATGATCTCGCACACGGGATTCGAATCCAGGACTTTTGGTCTCTCATTCCTATATTCAATTCAGTACTGCAATGTAATCAGTCAGTGAATACGTTATCTATTTTCTGTATCTCTCTCTCTCCTCAGTAAGAAAAATAATCTTATTCTTCTTCTTGACATTCTTAATTGAATCCTGACAAATTCTAAAATGCAAGTCATTTAAATTCATATTTTGCTACCTAACATATATGATTATTCAGCATTACATATAGCTTGACTAAAATCTGACAGAGAAAGAATTAACGAAATAAACAAATGAATCCACGTCAAATGTCATCGTAGCATGAAATAAATGATAATTTTTTTCCGAAAATGTTTTAAATCTATAAACATGTCCCAATGTATTATTCCTATTTATAACTAATTGATCGCTAAATGGCATCCAATGTCATGTTTACTTGGTCATTCTAATACTGATAGAATCCTATCGATCAAACTGAATTATGGCCAGCAGTCTAAATGACTCAAAATTGTATGTACTATGTGAGGTTTTTGGAGGTATTCGACGGAAAATCCTACTTGACCTTGGTTTTATGTTACTTAGCATTCATCAGAAAGGAATATGTGTAATTTTAAGAGGTTTTAAACGCTCACCAAATGTTTTAGTGATAGCACCTTTGAGAACATCGGTTCTCTCAAGATTAATAGTACTTCTCACTGATGAATGACAACTAACATGAAATATAAGTTAAGTGCAGTTTCCTGGTGACCAACCTAAAACTCCTAATTAAATAGTAATGTAGTGAACAAGAACACAAACTTACAGAACATCCTACTAAAATCTGAGAACAATACAGTAAATATTTCATTTGAAAATGTTAATCAATTGTCTCGAACTTAACTGTTTCTTTTATAAATATCAGTCTATCGTTCCAGATTTCATTAATCCTGCATTTTCGTAACAATTGTTTTCCGTTCCCACTCTTTCCTTCTCGATCTTCTACTGAAATACATTCTATTCCTGACTATTATTATATACTACTTATGTGAATATAAGTAGCTCACATCACAGTAACTTTATGTAGGTTTTTCAGTCTGGACAACTATATATTATTTACTCTAATATTCAATTTAAAAACTTGTACCAAATAGATATGGTATTTATTTCAATCAAAAGGATATAAAAGAATATCTCAGACTACTTCCAAACCCCTAACTTAATAGTAATGTAGTGAACAAGAACACAAACTTACAGAACATCCCACTAAATTCTGAGAACAATACAGTAAATATTTCATTTGAAAATATTAATCAATTGCCTTGAAATTGACCTTTCCTTTTTGCAAATATCAGTCCATCGTTTCAGACCTCTACTTAATAGATATAGTATTTATTTCAATCAAAAAAATATAAAAGGATATCCCAGAACCATTATTAATTTCAAAAAAAAAGACTATACTACTTACACCAAGTGAATGATAATATTGATATGTTGCTATATTATCATATAAACTTGCTGTAAAATTTTCTTTTAATCTAGAATATTTAATTAATATACGTATACATTGAAAACTTGAACGATCTTTTGAACATTTATTTTCACATTTAACTGATGATGATATTAATTTTGATTCAATATAAGTACAATTAGTTGGTAAAAATCCAGATTCATGACGACATGGTAATATAACTAAATGTATTAATATACATTCAATAATAAAACATGTTGTAATAATTGTAGCACATGTTAAATATATTAATTTTATACATGTTTCATGATATTTATGTTGTCTTCCTTTCCATATTGCATGATGATGATGATAATGATGATGTTGATGATGTGGATGATGTTGATAAGGATGTGAATTTATAGCTTTATTATGATTTAAAGTAGAATAAGGCTGATGAATTAGTTGAGAATATTGTTTAGTATTACTATTATGAGGTGATTGAAATCTTTCAAATTTCTCTTCAACTATTTCTTCTTCTTCATCTTCATTATTTTGGTTATTTAAAGAAATTTCTTGTACTTCATGGGTGAAATCATCCATTTTTGGCAATCATCATTTTTTTCATCCAGTGTAAGATTTAATATTTATTATTATTATTATTAATATTACTATTATTATTCTTCAGTAATATTCTCATCCATTTTTATATATTAAAGAATCAGTATTAATATAAATAGATTTGATAAATATTAATTTAGTATTTAGTTAACTAACTTCTTTAAATGGCCAATCAAAATAGAATTAAAGAAATTCACTTCTGATTGGTTTAAGTGTAATAATAATAATATTTAATAGTTGGATTCATAAGTCAATTAAAGTTAGATCACCATAAAAAATTTAGATGCACTAAACAGTTGTTTTGTCTTAGTATAGGACTCCTCAACAGTTCACATTTAATGTGGTTTTCCATAATGGTCTAGCTTTAATTAATTCATGACCTGAACTATTAAATTACCACAATCTCCAGAAAAATCCCATTTTCTGATAACAATATTATTATTGTTATTGAAGAGGAAGTATAGAATACAATGGACAGGTTGGATGCAACTAGATGATTTAGAGTTTTCAAATGACCAGAGTCTTCTATCCCATACACATGAAGAAACACAGATCAAAACAATCAGTATATTAGAAGCCTCTGCATCAGTAAACTCTTTTAACCGCTATATTAATGATTTTTTTTAGATATTTTTATGTTTATCACGTATTGACATTGGATTCACTTGGTGTTGTTTGTTCGAATCTTCCCATTGATGTTTTATGACTGGAATTGATCAGTTTGTTATTGGCATATATACATCCTGTACGTATTGCCTCGATACTGCCTTAATTCACGAGTATTATAGTCAAAGATTGGTGATGGCTAGTAGTGGAATTCAGGAGACGCGTTTAGCCCCATTTGAGATCCGTCAGCTGCATGTATCTGTATTCCAGTTTCGTTGTTCACTCTAGGACTCGAGCTCAGCACCGTTGACTTCAAACACTGTTGCTCTATACATTTAACTACTGAGTCCTGATAAACAATTGTTTGTACAATGGGGTGAAGTTTAAATTCGCTTGGTATTGTTTACATGAATCTTCCCATTGATGTTTTATGTGCATCCTATTAGGATTGTCTCGATACTGCCTTAATTCACGAGTATTATAGTCCAAGATTGATGATGGCTAGTAGTGAAAGTCTGAAGACGCGTTTTGCTCCATTTGAGATCCATCAGCTACATGTATCTGTATTCCAGATTTGATATTCAATGTGGGACTCGAACCCAGTACCATTCGCTTCAAACTTTATCCCATTACCTATTTAGCATATTAGTATTGTTTATAAGAATTTTATAATATAATCTATACATGACTTAAATAAATAAAAAACATTCATAATTATAAAATAATTAAATTCATTAATAAATTATTTATTCATATAGTTTATTAAGTAGTATAATAAGTTTATTAATTTATAATTAATAATAAGTGTGACATAGTTTTTTTTTTGTTGTTTTAACACTATATTAATTAACGTTTCTTTTTATTCAAGAAATTAATGTTTATTCTAGAAAAAGGGAAGAAAATATAAAAAGACATTTCCTTAGCGTAAATTAAAATTATTAGGTCAATTTTTTTAAATTAGTGAGTATGTGAGTGAGTGTGTGAATGAGTGAGTGAGTGAGTGAGTGAATGAATGAGTGAATGAGTGAGTGAGTGAGTGAACGAATGAGTGAATGAGTGGGTGAGTGAGTGAGTGAGTGAATGAGTGGGTGAGTGAGTGAGTGAATGAATGAGTGAATGAGTGGGTAAGTGAGTGAATGAATGAGTGAATGAGTGGGTGAGTGAATGAATGAGTGAATGAGTGGGTGAGTGAGTGAATGAATGAGTGGGTGAGTGAGTGAGTGAATGAATGAGTGAATGAGTGGGTGAGTGAGTGAGTGAGTGAATGAATGAGTGAATGAGTGAGTGAGTGAACGATTGAGTGAATGAGTGGGTGAGTGAGTGAGTGAGTGAGTGAATGAGTGAGTGAGTGAGTAAGTAAATGTACTTCCTTCTTAAAGTTAATTTAGTTTTCTAAATGAGTTTTTAATTAACTACTTCTTTTTTTTTCTATTTATTTATAATTGTTCATAGATTTTTTTCTTGTTAGAAAAAGCAAAACACACCTTTTATCAACACTGTGATAGTTTCAAGTTTTCACTAAGAAACATTATTAATGTTGAATAAGTTAGTAGCTATATGAATTGACTCATTTAAAAGATAACAAATTGAATGTTTAATAAAGTAATTACTACTGTATGAATTTCAATGTACATATCAACAATAAGATATAGATATATCCTAGCTAATGATTGTTGAATAGGATAAAATGAATATTCTAGATCCCTTTACTAATCACAATATAGATATAATAAAACATTTAGCAATAGGTTATATTGAGGCAATTGAGTTACAATATACAGTTCTTAATAAAGACTGATGAAAATTTGTTTTGGATGTCAACAACAGGATCATTCAAAATCGAAATGAAAGAAATACAAGTTTCTATTCAGTTTAACGTGTTTTCTTTTTCTTCCCAACTCAATATGAATTCCAGAATTTTAAAATTATATGATTATTAACTTTATTCAATATTATAATTTTGGTACAACATAGAATTCTCAGGACAAAGTATTACAACAATTCAACTGTTCCTGTGGAGCAAGTTATATTGGCAGATGTTCTAGGGATTAGTATAATCGGGCTTTTGAGCACCTTCCAGTGTGGTTAAGCAAAGGTGTAGTTAAAACGGTTAACAGCTCCATTTTAACCCATTTAATTCAGACGGGACATACAGACAACATAGAGCAATCTTTTACAATAATATATCGTGTTAACAGCCGTCTACCTAATTCCGTTAAACTGAGAATCCTACAGACGGCTGAAGCAATTGCTATTCGGATCAAAAAGCCAGAGCTTTGCAACCAAAAGAAATATGTCCAGCCGCTTCTTTTACCCTGGCCAACTTCGGGGCCAACTAGTTAATAATCAATTTTATAATATGATGACGTAATTTGTTTCATGTTCATTTTTATATACTAGACTTATCCACACACATTACCATTGCTATTATTATGATTACACTTGATAACCTTGTTGAGGAATTTATTCATTATCCATCCCTATCTACTATATCTGACCTAATTCATATTATTCTACATATTACATAATTTCTGACTTGTAATTACATTGTTCTCTCTCTCTCACCTCATGTTGATCATTTACCTCACAATTTCATTTCACTTATAAACTGATTCAAGTCAACGACTTCATATTAGTCAACCCCAACATTAACGATTTGATTTGATTTTATGTAACAAACAATAATCCTCGATTCACATATTACAATTTCCATATGATGTACTCTACCTTAAATCTGACCAATTTTATGGATTATTAATTTGGATATGAGATAATTGTAGAACTTGATGAGAAGTTATTGAAAAGAAACATCCAGCTCAGAGAACTAAACATCAAAATCATCCACCTGAGCTACAAATCTTCACCATTGAAAATAATATTCTTCGTTCATATAATTGTGTTTTAAAGTTAGATAACTTGTTGAAATATTTAGATGGCAGGAACAGATAGCCCAGATATTCAAGCAGACCGCCATTGATGTAAATAACATTATCATACTGTGTTGTTCAATACAATCTTGTTTACCATCCGTACAACATTGTCTTCAGTGAGTTGATATCTCACACCAGACCTGGTTAAACTCCACTGGTACCGGCTTCTCACTAGAACTCCACGAGTATCACTTGAAGTCAGTCACTAATGAGCATACATACTTTTTAATTGCTCAACTTTACTGTCTAAAATAACAAAGATTCATAGCTTATGTTAATTCATAAATGAATAAATGTTTTTATTAGTTATAACACATTTCGAAAGTTCAAATTCATGAACATCCATATACAACTTTCAAATGTACTTTGATGACTCTTACCTACAAACTGATTACCTTAATTTTATCCAAGAAAATCTCTGACTTTCTGATAATGGTAGACTATAACTATTACATACCCAATCAATTTTCTTTCATAGAATTCTCTTTTACAGAGTTGTGTAAGTCCTTTATGTTATATCCGGATGAAGAATAAATGAATGGTAACCGTTATGAATTACTTATAGACCAACTTTATACGTATATTCTTAGTGTATAACTATTAAGTAACTATATTATATGAATATTTATAAGCTTTTATTTGACCTATTGACTGCTATCACACGATTTACTATTCTCAAGATATTCTCAATTTATTAGTAACAGTCTGTCACAATCACAGCCACTTTTTAGCTTGATCCTGTATAATTATTATTTTCTATTTATGGTATGATGTGGTCTGGTTTGTTTGTCTATAAACTCAGTATGTGTGAAATATATGATTTGTATCCCGAAGACTGAGATTGGTGTTCTGGACTCAACAGGCAGAACTAGACAGTAAAAGTACCCATAAGAACTCTAGGCTTCTCCTAAAAGTGTATGCGTCATTAGCTTGGTCAGTAAATCGGTGATCTAACTGACAATCGTATCACTTGATATATTAATCTGGCATAAGAACATAACACTTTGTGTTTGAAACCAATATTTACAAAATCCATAGACAAAATGCATATCCAATCATTATATTCTGGCTAAGGGGCTTATTAGCAATTTTACAATAAGAGTACAAACGTAAGTATCATAATTTAAGAGTGTCTGTTATACATGGAGATATAGGAAAACATTTTGAGAGAATCACTCTCACTTCTTGATAGACCATGACATAACTTACGTACTGTTGAAAATTTAGTCTATTCAAGAAAACAACTGGTATTTCGTTAGATTGAATTATGGTCTATAGAAAATTGCACGGTTTACGTTCCGTCCTTTCTGAAACTTGTCAGTTGGATAAACCCCTTTCCAAGTGTTGGTATTTATACCAAGACTGACACCTCGTACTTTCCACTTCGAATGTCGAACGCATTATCCACCAAGCTACGTTCAATCGATCAGTCTCAAATAAGATCAA